AATAATCTTATTCTGTTTGAACATCAGTTTTATTTTTGGCAAAGAATCTTTACTAAAGTAAAACATCCATTTGATATTGATAAGCAGAATTTTTAGCAAAGATTTAATTTTGGCATTATAAGCAAGGGTACCGAGATCGCTAAAAATTGAATAACGCTAAAATTTAATTGCATGGTATTTGTTATAGCTTCTCTAGTGAGGATGAATTTAAAATTGCTAAAATTACATCTCACTGAAAATAAAATACAGTACCAATTTTTAAGAACAAATTGCTAAATTTGTATCTCACTAAAATTTCCACTTATACAGTATCTTACTCTAGAATTCCATTCATAATTGTATCCCATAGTTGCCCATCTAAGTTTCATGATGAGACTGTCTTTTCCAGTTATGTCTGAGCTAAAATGAAATCTTACAGTAAGCTAAAAGACAAACTAGAAGAACCTAGAAATGTTTGTGAAATATAATGTCTCTAACTAGGAAAATTTTCTGTGGTGCCAATATTCATTATTGCAACTCCTCTCAAATTGAACTTGAAAACAGAAATAAAAGCATGAATCAAACAATAATATATACATATACATATACATTCACAAGTTATTTCGCTTAAAGCCGCTTGGTCCGATTCTAATCGCAAAAAAAAGATATTCGTTTTTCTTCTTGAAAAATAATTGTCCATAAATTATTTCAACTTTTGTCAAATAATATCCCAAAAGTCTTTCTCTTTTTAAAGATATCAAAAAGTTAAAAAAATAATTTTTGTTAGGTCACACAAAAAATAATCCTTTGTTTACATTGCGTGAAATCACCTTCGAAAAATTAAATTTATCGCTTACATGTTTAACTCATGAAGAACAAACCCAAGCATTTTTTCCACAACAAAGATTCTAGCCCTCGTAACTAAACTCCCTTTTTAAAAAATCTTTAAAAATATCTGATTTTCCTTTATTCTGTAAATATGCATATTGATATGACAAGAGGCCCATGGGCCACATCGCTCACCTGAGTAACTTGGGTGATGCAGTTCTTTACCAGATTCCCCCTCTTGCTATATCTATCATGCCCCACTACCCCCTTCCCTTTTATGATTTTAAAACTTTAGAATCTACACTACCCAAGGATGCTTCCACATAAATTTCAGCTTTCCTGGCCCAGTGGTTCTTGAGAAGAAGATTTTTAAAGATTTGTTCTATATATTTCTATGTAAAACTTGGATTCCTTATTGTGGCCCCACCCTACCCCCGGGGGTCATGATTTTAATAATTTAATATCTACACTACCCAAGGATGCTTCCACATAAGTTTCAGCTTTCCTGGCCCAGTGGTTCTTGAGAAGAAGATTTTTAAAGAATTGTTCTATATATTTCTATGTAAAACTTGGATTCCCTATTGTGGCCCCGCCCTACCCCCGGGGGGTCATGATTTTAACAATTTAATATCTATACTACCCAAAGATGCTTCCACATAAGTTTCAGCTTTCCTTGCCTAGTGGTTCTTGAGAAGAAGATTTTTAAAGATTTGTTCTATATATTTCTATGTAAAACTTGGATTCCCTATTGTAGCCCCGCCCTACCCCCGGGGGTCATGATTTTAATAATTTAATATCTACACTACCTAAGGATACTTCCACATAAGTTTCAGCTTTCCTGGCCCAGTGGTTCTTGAGAAGAAGATTTTTAAAGATTTGTTCTATATATTTCTATGTAAAACTTGGATTCCCTATTGTGGCCCCGCCCTACCCCCGGGGGTCATGATTCTAATAATTTAATATCTACACTACCCAAGGATGCTTCCACATAAGTTTCAGCTTTCCTGGCCCAGTGGTTCTTGAGAAGAAGATTTTTAAAGATTTGTTCTATATATTTCTATGTAAAACTTGGATTCCCTATTGTAGCCCCGCCCTACCCCCGGGGGTCATGATTTTAACAATTTAATATCTACACTACCCAAGGATGCTTCCATATAAGTTTCAGCTTTCCTGGCCCAGTGGTTCTTGAGAAGAAGCTTTTTTAGTGACCCCACCCTTTTTTTGTCTTTTCTTGATTATCTCCCCTTGTAAAAAGACTTGGCCCTTTATTTTAACAATTTGAACTCCCCTTCACCTAAGGATGCTTTGTACCAAGTTTGGTTAACATTGGCCCATTGGTTCTTGAGAAGAAGTCGAAAATGTGAAAAGTTAACAGACGGATGGACGCCGGACAAAATGTGATCAGAAAAGCTCACTTGAGCCTTCGGCTCAGGTGAGCTAAAAATTACTTTGGATTATATTCATTTAATTACTTAATTTTTAAAAGATATATCATGACTTAGGATTCTACTAATGGAAAAAAAAAAATACTCGGGTTTGAATTCTCTTCATGATTAGATATAACCGATAAAAGTACCCCGGTATTTTTTTCAAAGGTGACTTCAAAACAGATCTTAACTTCCCGTCAGGAACTGCTGTTTGTCAACAAGGTTTTTGGTCTATGTTTTCCATGTAAGGATTGTTGTAATAAACTATTAAATCAATCTTATAATTAATTTTTATATATTATCTATGTAATGACATACTTTTATTGTTTAAGATAATTTGTGCCTGTTTCGGATGAAGCGGCTTTAAGGTAAAAATAGCAAAGAAAAACTGATAAAAAAGAAAATATTTTACAGTATATTTCAGCAATGAAAACAACATTTTATTTGAAATACTAAAAGTACTGATAATCTTCATTTTTTTTTATACTGATTCAAATGATTTATTTCAGTGATGAAATAATCAATTAATATGCTAAATAATAATACATAATAATACATTCACAGTAGACTGTTTTAAAATTTCTTAATACTTAGGCTTATTCTGGCTGTAGGTCCAAATGTTATCAATACCACTCATGTCTACCAAGTTATCTAAGATGGTTTTGCTTGGTTTGTTGGGATAATCCAGGACACATCTCTCTATCCAGTATCTTTGTTGTCCATCCTCAAAGGGATTCTTTATAAAGATGAACCCTTTAATAAAATTACAATAAACAGTAAAACCTGTGTCATCAGACATATAAAGGTAGACAAAATTTGCACTGGAATGGAGTCATATTGCACTGTCCTAAAATCATAGATAATAGTCAAATGGAAGATTGGATACCTGGTCAGAATTGGTGAAACATATTACACAAGAGTATCAGATCAAACAATTTCACGGTACATTTATATGGTAACAAATAAATAAAATATATACAAAATGATACCTTGAAAATGCTAGAAAATAAATTTTAGAATAAAGTGTTGGAAGATTCACATGTAGAAAATTTCAAATGTATTTAATTTTAATAACGTATGTTTTATTTCATAGTTTTTTCTTAACACATTTACAAATTGCTTTATCATATTGTTTTAAATTTACCAGGAAAACCTTTGAATGAATAACTTTTCCATTCCTCCAGAGGTTTTAACCCCCTCACTGCAGGATGCTGAGAAGCCTGTAGTTCTATTTCTTCCACCTAAAGAAAATATTAACAGATATTATCCTTAGTCAAAGTCTATGAATTCTGAGGATTAATGTACATTTAATAGTCTCAACATTTACGCTTTAAATAAAGGAGGAAGGTGTTTAAAAATAATATATTACTATTTTTTCCCCAAATTATTAAATAAAATTGTCAATTTAGTAAAGTATATTAATGAATTTCATATTTATAAAGCTAGCATAAATTATTCAAAGAGAATTCTGAAAATTTAGAATTCGAAAACAGATTAGTGTTGTTGGGGAAATAAATATCAAGAGCCAGATAATCATAATTACATAATTTTCTGAATATGCTTTATGAATATGGATCCAAATTGATTTCAATTGATTTGCGTCTTTAACTCTTTTGACACCAAGACAGTTAGAACCAAGAATGCATCCAGTTTATTTTCCTGCCTATAATGTAATTTGTTATTTCCCCTCAACCCTTTTCATGAGGAACCCCAGATCCCTGCTTTTTTATTATCCCCAGCTATTTCAATTCTTAGGTAAAGATCTGTATAACAGAGAGAAAACTGGGTTACACCGATTTGGATTGACCCACACACAAAGGGAAATCACCTTTGTAAATGTGAAAGTCAGAAAAAAAGAATCTCTCTTGAAATATTTATTAATGCATATATTTTCTGAAATATATTTATATGTCAAACTTTGTAATTCTTTTTTATTCACACGGGTCAATGGCACTGTCAAGTGTAAATCTGGATGTTTTTTGCTTATTATGTTCCCCAAACGAAGTTGGGGAACATATTGTTTTTACTCTGTTTCTTATCATTATGTTCCCCAAACGAAGTTGGGGAACATATTGTTTTTACTCTGTTTCTTATTATTATTATGTTCCCCAAACGAAGTTGGGGAACATATTGTTTTTACTCTGTTTCTTATTATTATTATTATTATTATTATTATTTTTCTTCTTCTTCTTCCTGGGTACTTTTTTGTCCGGGAATGATCTTGTAAACTGTTCGTCCGATGTAGGTAAAACCTTTTTAGGGTAAGTAGACATGTTATGTAGATTTGCGGAATCAAGGTCATTTTGCACGCACGTGCTTGCAAGAGCGCGCACGTGCAACACGTGAAATGACCAATATAATAGATATAGCCTCAACTTTTCTATTTTTTGATGAATTGCTTTGAAACTCATAATGTGAGGATATATTAGTAGTAAAGACATGGCGACATGATCAAAATAGCAAGATCTCACGCGCATGCACGTGCGCTGCACTCTGATTGGCTGAAACAAAAATCTCAATATCTTTTTTGTTTTTTGACGAAATGCTTTGAAATTTTGAACATAGCCATGCATTAGGATAGCCAACAATATGATGTATAGCAATTATCATGAAAACACGTGCATGCACGTGCACTGCAATCTGATTGGCTTAAACTTTAAATAGCTATAACTCATTTGGTTTTCAATCAAAGAGGATGGGATTTGAAACATAGATAGATATTATGAACTACTACAAGAAGGTATGGTCACCATGCACATGGATACATGTGCATGTACGTGCGCTGCAATCTGATTGGCTGAAACTTTTAACAGCTATAACTCCCTTGGTTTCCAACGAAACAGGATGGGATTTGAAACATAGATAGATATAATGGACTACTACAAGAAAGGTATGATCACCATGCACATGCATACACATGCGTGTACGTGTGCTGCAATCTGATTGGCTGAAACTTTTAACAGGTATAACGCCCTTGGTTTTCAACCATATGGGGTGGGATTTAGAACATAGATAGATGTAATGGACTTCTACAAGAAGGTATGGTCACCGTGCTCATGTATGCACGTGCGTGCACGTGAAATGAACAAAATCAAAAAAACACTTGAATGTGCGTATTTTTATTACTTTTGGATTAGATACTTTAATTTTTAGTATATTAAAATATATGGATTGTGAAGACAAAATGATATGGTCATTACGCACAGGCATTTGCATGCGCACGCATGCAATGCTAAAATTTGAATGAACTTCGTACACTTCAGGGTAAATGTTGTTAAAGTCTCAAATACATAGAGTTTGTCTTATTAAATGAAGCTTATAGGTAATATGGCACAAAAAGAGAGTTGGGGAGCGTTTGGGGAACATCTGTAACGGTCCCCGTTACAATAAGCACTAGTTATTATGTTCCCCAAACGAAGTTGGGGAACATATTGTTTTTACTCTGTTTCTTATTATTATTAAGGTCTTCCGTCTTCAGCGGAAGACCTTCTTGTTATTCTTCGGTTTCTTTTTCACTTTTTTTCTTACCTATTATTATTCTTTTTTTTCTTACCGATTTTGTGCACGCGATTTCTCGAAAACGGCTTGATGGATTTCCATGAAACTTTCAGGACTCATGTAACATTACTTGAACTTGATTCATTTTTTTCCGTTTTGATGACGTCACTTCCGGTCCGGAAATATTGTCGATTTTATGATTTTTGAAGGGTCAGGTTGTCCGCGAACGTTCTCAAAACTGGCTTAAGATAGAAACGTGAAAATTTCAGGTATGATAGTCCTAAGTCTATAGATGTGCAAAATGAATTTCATTTTTATCGGAAGTGCCGCGTGTCGGCGCTCGCTATGGCCCGAAAATTGTCCTATCTCGAATTTCAAAATTTTTAAATCCTTTTCTATGATATCTTTTTACTTTGAAATATTTTGTTATAACATATAGAACAAAAGAAGTGTAGAATTTCAAGATCTTTTAAATGATATCTAGAAAAAAGGGCTGGCCCCTAAAATTAAGGGACTGGAGGGGCCATAAGTTTTTCTTTTATATCTCAAAAAGTATTGAGAATTTGTAATACATCAAAGAAGCAAAGTTGTTCAAAATGTCAAGCTCAATCTACGGGCGTCGTCAAAATACGTCTGATGATGTCACTTCCGGCCAAACCGGAAGTAGTCGGAAAACGCGTATTTTGGTCATTCTTGACAAGTTTTTGGGTATCTTATGTCACTAGGAACATAAAAATAAATTTTCCGTCCGTCGTCGTCACTTCCGGTCAAACCGGAAGTAGCAAAAAATGGCTTATTTTTTCATTAATTAAAATAGATTTTGAGGATGCAACCAATTTTGGGACGTTATTTCTCATATTCGTTAAAAATGAAAACTACTTCCGGTCAAACAGGACGGAAGACCTACTCGTTGCTTTGCAACGAGCTTTGCTCTAGTTATTATTATTTTTCTTCTTCTTCTTCTTCCTGGGTACTTTTTTGTCCGGGAATGATCTTGTAAACTGTTCGTCCGAGGTAGGTAAAACCTTTTTAGGGTAAGTAGACATGTTATGCAGATTTGCGGAATCAAGGTCATTTTGCGCGCACGTGCTTGCAAGAGCGCGCACGTGCAACACTTGAAATAACCAATATAATAGATATAGTCGGAACTTTTCTATTTTTTGATAAAATGCTTTGAAACTCATAATGTAAGGATACATTGGTAGTATAGACAAGATGGCATGGTCAAAATAGCAAGATCTCACGCGCATGCACGTGCGCTTCGCTCTGATTGGCTGAAACTAAAGTCTCAATATCTTTCTTGTTTCTTGTCATAATCTTTTGAAATTTTGAACATGGTCCTACATTATGAAAATCTACAGCATGATATATTAAAATTTTAATAAAGCATGCGCATGCGCGCGTGCTTTAATCTGATTGGCTAAAACTTTAAATGGTTATATCTCCTTTGTTTTTTGACGAAATGCTTTGAAATTTAAAACATAGTCATGCATTACGATATCCTAAAATATATTATAGAAAATATTCATGAAATCACGCGCATGCATGTGTGCTGCAATCTGATTGGCTGAAACTTCAAATGGCTATAACTCTCTTGTTTTTCAACCAAACAGGATGGGATTTAGAACTTGGATAAATATAAGGGACTCCTACAAGAAGGTGAAGTCATTATGCACGTGCTTGCACGTGCGTGCACGTGAAATGAGTAAAATAAAAAATACACTCGAATGAGTGCATTTTTAATACTTTTGGATTAAATGCTTTGATATTATTAAAATTTTAGATAGTGTAGACAAGATAATATGGTCGTTACGCACATGAAAACGCGTGCAATGCCTATTTTTTTAAATATATGTTGTATTTTTCTTGGAAGACCTTGATTAAGTCTAAATTCCATAAAGTATTTCTTATTTAATAGAGATAACAGGGAATATGGCACCAAAAGGGAGTTGGGGAGCGTTTGGGGAACATCTGTAACGGTCCCCGTTACAATTAGCACTAGTTATGTTCCCCAAACGAAGTTGGGGAACATATTGTTTTCACTCTGTTTCTTATTATTATTTTTCTTCTTCCTGGGTACTTATTTGTCCGCGAATGATCTTGTAAACTGTTCATCTGATGTAGGTAAAACCTTTTTAGGGTAAGTAGACATGTTATGTAGATTTGCGGAATCAAGGTCATTTTGCGCGCACGTGCTTGCAAGAGCGTGCACGTGCAACATGTAAAATGACCAATATAATTGATATAGCCGTAACTTTTCTATTTTTTGATGAAATGTGCTGAAACTCAGAATATAAGAATATATTAGTATTATAGACAAGAGGTCATGTCAAATTATCATGAATTCACGCGCATGCACGTGCGCTTCGCTCTGATTGGCTGTAAACAAAAATCTCAATATCTTATTCGTTTTTAGGTCACCTGAGTCACTCAGGTGACCTATTGCTATCTGTTTTTGTCCGTCGTCGTTCGTCGTACGTCGTTCGTCGTCAATCGGTCGTAAACTTTTGAACATTTTCAGCTTCTTCTCTGCAACCACTGAACCAATTTCAACCAAATTTGGCACAAAGCATCTATGGGTGAAGGGGAACAAAAATTGTGAATTTCATGATCCCTGCCCCCCTGGGGCCTGAGGGGTGGGGCCAAAACCACTAAAATTAATGCAACCTTCAAAAATCTTCTTCTTTACTCCTGGACATCAAGCAGTCAAACTGTTTGCATGATTGTAATCAGCATTGAGTCC